TCCCTCCATCATCTGCTTCCGCCCTCAGGCCCCCCTCTCTCTCTCTATAAATATATACTAGAGGCCCCCTGCGAGAAACTCTTGCAAGGGGCTCTGCCCTCCCAGCCTTGGCTTCATCTGGAAGGTCGTCCTGAACAACGTCCAGAAGGATGTCTGGTCTAATTAGCATATTACTCTTTTATTATTATAGATATATATTTTTTATTGACTTCAGAGAGGAAGGGAGAGGAAGAATTAGATAGAAACATCAATGATGAGAGAGAATCATTGATTGGCTGCCTCTTGCATGCCCCCTACTGGGGACCAAGTCCGAAACCCATGCATGTGCCCTTGACCAGAATCAAACCTGGGACCCTTTAGTCCACAGGCCGAGGTTCTATCCACTGAGCCAAACTGGCTAGGGCCTCAGGCCCCTCTCAACTGGCTGTTCCCCCAGAGTGGAGTGGCGCCTGCCTAGAGGGGAGTAGGAAGGGGACCATGATTCACTGGAACTGCCTTTTAAAAATATTTACAGCCCAAGCTGGTTGGCTCAGTGGATAGAGTGCCGGCCTTCAGACTGAAGGGTCCGGGGTTCGATTCCAGTCAAGGGCACATGCCCAGGTTGCGGGCTCCATCCCCAGTAGGGGGCGTGCAGGAGGCAGCCGATCAATGACTCTCGTCACTGATGTTTCTATCTCTCTCCCTCTCCCTTCCTCTCTGAGATCAATAAAGATATATTTTTTAAAATAATATTTACAGCATCATCTTCTGTGCTTGGCTGGGCTTGGCCATGCTGCCTCCCCTCCAGAAGTCTCAGCTCCACCCTGAGGAATCAATCCCCAGTCGGGAGAAGACAGAGCAGGACATAGATACCCCATCTGGAGGCATTAGAGGGGACCCAGAGGGAGAGAAGGGGCTGGAGGGGGGTGTCAGGCTGGCCAGCAGGCTAGTGGGGAACAGTAGGCTGGAGGTGTGACAGCAAGGTGGGCAGCAAGCCCCGTGGGGAGTTCTCCGCTGGAGCCGAGGGGGGAGATGTCATCGAGACCACATGGAAGGAGCACTGGGGCTTCCGGGGAGAGAGTAAGTGGAACTGGGCCCTGAGGAAGGAGGCAGCAGGATGGATCTTCCCTCAGCAGCAGACACACAACCCAGACACAGGCTCTCGCCAGCTTCTCTGCCCCTGGACACTCTGTCTGGGGACCTGGTCTTTTAACATTCTGTCGTTTGCAGGTGGGAGATGATGGAAAAACAGTGGTGGTGGTAATCACGGCTCCTGGTCACCGGCTCCTATACATGCTCCACAGAAGTCCGAACCTCACCCGAACCAGGAAGGTCCGGTCTCCCTCCTCCCCTGACCCACAGCCAACACAAGCCGGTGGCCGGCAAACCCGTGGCTCCATAACAGGTGGCCCACGGGCCAGTGCGGGGATGGTTTGGAGGAGAAGCAGGACATGCCT